GTGGCACCAAGGCCACATGAACCCAAGGCCACCCCAGAATGCTCTGATAAAACTGGAGCTGCTTCCTCAGCACACAACTGCAGCAGCTACCATTTACCTGATGCTTTTCTTCTGCAAAGCCACTAAAAATTCTGAATTACTAATGCAGGGTGCCAACAAGCTGAACGAGTGCCAGACCAAAGGCAGTTACTTGTTTGGAAAATAGCACTCACCATTTGTGGAGAGCTGCTCAGAGTGATGCTTTTGCAACTCCCACAGTGGCGGACACCCAGGATTTGTGGCAAAACACAGAAAACCCACCTGAGACCCTGTTTCCTATCTGCATTTGAGAGGGACCTGCCTGAGTTTAAGCGCACTGGGACTCGGGGTGGAGGTCAGGGTGAACACCTGGAACAGTCACACACGTGCCTGCAGCCTGCACGGGGGCTGACCCACAGGGAAACGTGCCTTGGCCTGGGCTCTGCTCCTGCAGGACACAGGGACACAGGACACAGGACACAGGGACACAGGACACAGGGACACAGGGACACGGGACACAGGGACACAGGGACACAGGACACAGGGACACAGGACACAGGACACAGGGACACAGGGACACAGGGACACAGGACACAGGACACAGGGACACAGGACACAGGACACAGGACACAGGACACAGGGACACAGGGACACAGGGACACAGGGACACAGGACACAGGACACAGGACACAGGGACACAGGACACAGGGACACAGGGACACAGGACACAGAACACAGGGACACAGGACACAGGGACACAGGACACAGGGACACAGGGACACAGGACACAGGACACAGGACACAGGGACACAGGGACACAGGACACAGGACAGCAGCCGCGTCCCTGCCTTGCTCTCAGGGTTTCCTTTCCAGGAGCATTCCCAGCACTGAACCAGCACCAGCTGCTTCCCACACACCCTGCAATGAGCACACCACACAGGGCTCTGCACACCCTCACCAGCACCACAATCGCCCTCAGGACTGCACACACAGCCCCACTTCGATGGTGCTGTGAGCAGCAGCCAAGAGGCGACAGTCACAACAAGAACAAATTCCAGAAAACAATTTCTCTGTGGCAAGAAGAGGAAATCTTGTAAAAAATGGGTATTTTTTACTAACTAACGTTTCCTTTGTACGAAATCCTCCTCAGCCAGAACAGCTACAGAAGCTCAAAAAATGAAGAAAGAACTGAATGTTCTGACACTGAAACTGCAGCCTAACAGGTAAGTGATTAATTCAGCTGGGGTATGTGGTTATGATGGATTAATATCACTGAAATAGTAAAAGGATCCTGTTGTTTCACTGTGTCCATGTGAGCAGGGAACTGAACCACGATGAGACACTGAAGCCTATGTTGGTTTTGACACCACAGATTTAGGAAATTATTTTCCTTACCTCACCTGCATGACAAATGAGGCAAAATTAAATGCTGTAAATGCTTGAAATCACACTCTCCATTCCCATGTCAGGCTCCCAAACAGCACAGTGTGTATCCCTGTCAGTGCCTCTGCCCTTCTCAACACTGCCAGTGCAGAGAATGAATAAGTTTCAGCAAATTCCTCTAGTTTTACCTGCATCCAAACCATTTCCCAAACAACTGAGATTATTGGTATCAACTCCTCAGTAGTGAAACATCTGTGATTTTGAGCTTGCACTGTGGATATTTTCACCTATGAAAATATGCAGCCATCAAAAACCAGCTATGGGTGCACAGAGCTGTGTGAGCACCCAGCAGCACAGACTGAGGTGTGTGAGCACCCAGCAGCACAGACTGAGCTGTGTGAGCACCCAGCATCCCAGACTGAGGTGTGTGAGCACCCAGCATCACAGATTGAGGTGTGTGAGCACCCAGCAGCACAGACTGAGGTGTGTGAGCACCCAGCAGCACAGACTGAGGTGTGTGAGCACCCAGCATCACAGATTGAGGTGTGTGAGCACCCAGCATCACAGACTGAGGTGTGTGAGCACCCAGCATCACAGATTGAGGTGTGTGAGCACCCAGCATCCCAGACTGAGGTGTGTGAGCACCCAGCATCACAGACTGAGGTGTGTGAGCACCCAGCAGCACAGACTGAGCTGTGTGAGCACCCAGCAGCACAGACTGAGCTGTGTGAGCACCCAGCAGCACAGACTGAGCTGTGTGAGCACCCAGCTCAGGGACAGAGGTGTGTGAGCACCCAGCATCACAGACTGAGCTGTGTGAGCACCCAGCAGCACAGACTGAGCTGTGTGAGCACCCAGCAGCACAGACTGAGCTGTGTGAGCACCCAGCTCAGGGACAGAGGTGTGTGAGCACCCAGCATCACAGACTGAGCTGTGTGAGCACCCAGCAGCACAGACTGAGGTGTGTGAGCACCCAGCTCAGGGACAGAGGTGTGTGAGCACCCAGCATCACAGGCTGAGGTGTGTGAGCACCCAGCATCACAGACTGAGCTGTGTGAGCACCCAGCAGCACAGACTGAGGTGTGTGAGCACCCAGCATCACAGAGGTGTGTGGGGCACCTCTCCCAGCTCTGTGTCACTGCAGGACTCTCCCCCCTGCCCAGCCAGCGCTGCCATCAGGAGGGAGACCAGCCGCCACAAAATCAACTGGCAATAAAGAATTTCACTTCGGAGATCCCTACATCCCTAATGTGGGATCTGGGGCATGATTCAGGGTTATGTAACAGCTGAAGAAACAGCAGAGTTGACTCACCCCAGTGCAAGTTATGTTCTCTCTATTCTAGAGTGAAACTCGTTTGGCTGCATTTAGAAGTTCCCCTTTGTGCTCTTACAAAACTGCTTCCTCTCAGCTGCTCTGCCCTGCCGAGGATGCCCCACGCTCCAGAGAATCACAGACTGCTTTGGCTTGGGAGGAACTTACAGCCCATCCAGTGCCATCCCACGGCAGGGACACCTCCCAGTGCCCCAGGTGCTCCAGCCCCAGTGCCCAGCCCGGCCTGGGCACTGCCAGGGATGCAGGGGCAGCCCCAGCTGTGCCAGGGCCTGCCCACCCTCACAGGGAACATTTTGTCCCTCACATCCAATGTAAACCCAGTCTCTGCCAGTTTAAAACCATTCCCCCAGTAAAAACTCTTACTGCTTTTAAAAACCAGATTTTTCAAAAATCTACCTAGACAAAATCCATAATCTGTAAATTACACATTTAATAACAGGATGCAAGGACCTAATGCGGAACCTTCCCTCATTTCCAGACTTAAACAGGAAAGGATTGTCCTGAGCTGCTCAGTCTGAAACAGCAAAACTGCTGATACCAAACAACAACTGCTGGTGCCATACAACAACTGCTGATAACCAAACAACAACTGCTGATAACCAAACAACAACTGCTGATAACCAAACAACAACTGCTGGTGCCGAACAACAACTGCTGGTGCCATACAACAACTGCTGATAACCAAACAACAACTGCTGATAACCAAACAACAACTGCTGGTGCCAAACAACAACTGCTGGTACCAAACTGTTCCTGACAGTCTGACAGGATGCTGCTGCTCCTCCCTCCCTTCTGAGACACTGCACAGACTGACTGAACGCAGTAACTCAGAGTACTCTGTACATTTTCACAACAGGGATGAAAGTGAGCAGGATGCAGAGGCAGGCACAGGACAAACAGGAGGGAGGAATTCTGCAGAGCTCACCTGCACAGTGCTGCTGCCCTGCACGCACCCAGCAGCGCTGCCCTGGCACCTGGGGCCCTGCCCTGGCACCCGGGGCCCTGCCCAGCCTCAGGGAGCTCCCGCTGGCAGCTCAGGGCTCTCCAGGAAATCCAGCAGAGCTCTGGTCCCACAGCAGGCTGGGCTTTGGGTGTTGCTGTACATCATCATCTGCTGCACCTGGAACGTGCCCTGCTGGGACCCAAACCAGAGCTGCCTGCAAACGCACACGGCAGGAACGCTGCTGGCATGGCAAAATCCTGCTGGGTTAACATTTCATACACATTTCCAAAATCCTGCTGGGTTAACATTTCATACACATTTCCAAAATCCTGCCTGGGTTAGCACTTCATACACATTTTCAAACTCATTTTGGTAAGCAACATCTACCAGATAACAAGGCTGATACACCTAGTTTGTTCAAGTTTTCCTGCAAACAAAAACTTGAATTTCCCAACCGGTTCTTGGACGTTTCTAGGACTGAAATTGTGAGCAGCTGGGTAAGGCCCAAGACCCTCCTCCCCAGCCTCTTGCTGGGACATCAGGTGTCCCTACAGGGACCTACAGGTGTCCCTACACCCTACACAGAACTCACCCCCCAGCACTGCCACCCCCTCCAGTGTCCTGACCTGTGAGCTGCAGTGGGGCACAGGGAATTCGTTAAGGAGAAATGAGAAAATGTATCCAAATTAAAAGCTACATTTGGCAATAAGGTGACTTAACAGACAGGATCTGGAAATCAGTAAATAGAGATTTTGATATTAATGATTAGACAAAAGGGCAAGAACTGTCCCAGGCCAGGAACACCAATATGTGAAGTGGTTTTCTTGAGGGAGAAAAATAGCGTTAGTGAGGAATGCAAATTTCACAGCCAATATATTCCAAGGAACATTTGTCTCCAGCATAAGGTTTTGTATCACAGGGACAAATTTCCCTAATTAGCCCAACTGGGAAGACTTCCTCATTACTGGAAAGAATCCATGAATTGAAGTTAACTTAAAATATCTCCTGCAGCCCCGGGACCCCTGTCACTGCCAGCCCCTGCCTGGGGCTCCCCATCCTGACACCCCAGGCAGGAGGACAGGTCATTAGCAGGGTAATTAATTACAAGGACCGTGCCTGATGTTAACCCTCTGCCACAGCCAAGACACAAATCCAGGGAGCGTTCCACCCTGGGACAGCCCTCGCACCAGAAGCAATGCTGAAGGAGTGGCCAGGAGATAGAATCTTTAAAAAAAGTGAAGGAATGATTTTAAAAGAGGAAGTTTACGGAAGATAAGTAACTGTTCCAGGCACACGGAACCAAACACACGCCTCCCTCACTGACACACACTGCAGAGGAGACCAGAGCACAGCAACCCACAGAGGGTGAGTCTCTAAACGTGAGCATTTGTGCATTGTAATTTATTTATTATTGCTTCGAACGGACTGAGAGAAACAGCTCGGCTCAAGGCAGGCCACAAAGGAGCTGAAAATGTTCCTGTGAACACACAGTGGGGTTGGGCTTTTGGAAAGGAGACCAACAAGGATGTAGTGTTACTGCCTTAAATATAGCTGTTTCAAAACGTATACATATATTTTATTAACAGTTTTCAGGAATTTCTAACTCCACTTGACAAGAAAAAAAAGGTGCTTCCAAACAAGTTCTGTTTATCATATCTTCAACAAATTATTTACTACCCTGTATTATTACTAGACCCTATTTTGACTTGTTATTGTAGATTAACCTTAACAAAACTTGTTATTTTTGTTGTGTTACTGAACTTTAGCTTGTAAGCAGAAGAAATTAACATAGACGTCAGACGCTTGTGTAGTTCTATATTTCCTATTTCCTTTCCCTGGTGTTTCTGACCAAATGCTACTGCTGCCAGGTGTCTGTAAACCTACTAAAATATTATTACTGAGAAATACTCTCCTGCCCCCTATGAAATGGAACCACAAACCTGAACTATGCAGACCCAAACTAGGGGCACAAACCAGGAGGGGGAACAGCAACCGGGGCAGTTTGTGGGTATCACAAGATGAGGATTTGCATCTGAAGGGTTTCCATTCCTCCCTTACAAAGTAAAAGCCAAAAATATGCCATACGGGAGCCAAATCCCTTTTTAACTTAAAAATCAAAAAACTGAACATCCAAGCATAAAGCTTCACAAACTCGAAGGCGTTTGTGCCTCTCCCCGCACCGAAGGACGCCTTTACAGCGCGCTGCAGCTGAGATTCGGCAGGATTTCCACCCAGCCCTGCCTGCGCTGCCCCGCGGTGCCCCAGAGCCGAACCGGGCACCCCGGCCCGCGGGGACTGAGGGGGCTGAGGGGGCTGAGGGGGCTCCGGTGCCGCGGGGCTGCCCCGGGAGGGTCCCGAGCCGCGGGCACGGCAGCCCCGGGCTGGCACAGCGGGAGCGGGAGCGGGAGCGGGAGCGGGAGCGGGAGCGGGAGCGGGAGCGGGCTCAGCCCCGGCACCCGAGCACAGCCCCGGAACCGCACAGCCCCCGGGACCCCGAGCACAGCCCGGGCACCGAACAGCCCCCAGGGACCGCACAGCCCCGGCGACCGCACATCCTCCGGGGACCGAACAGCCCCGGCTCCCTGAGCACGGGCCCGGCACCGCACAGCCCCCGGGGACAGAACATCCCCCGGGCACCGCACATCCTCCGGGCACTGAACAGCCCCGGCCCCGCGAGCACAGCCCCGGAACCGCACAGCCCCCGGGGACAGAACATCCCCCGGGCACCGCACATCCTGCGGGACCGAAGATCCCCCAGGGACGGTACATCCTCCAGGCACCGAACAGCCCCGGACCGCACAGCCTCCGGGGACCGAATATTCCCCGGGCACCGCACATCCACCGGACACCAAACATCCCCCAGAGACCAAACAGTGCCCAGGGATCGCACATCCCGCGGGACCGAACATCCTCCAGAGACCAAACAGTGCCCAGGGATCGCACATCCCGCGGGACCGAACATCCCCCAGAGACCAAACAGTGCCCAGGGATCGCACATCCCGCGGGACCGAACATCCTCCAGAGACCAAACAGTGCCCAGGGATCGCACATCCCGCGGGACCGAACATCCCCCAGAGACCAAACAGTGCCCAGGGATCGCACATCCCGCGGGACCGAACATCCCCCAGAGACCAAACAGTGCCCAGGGATCGCACATCCTGTGGGACCGAACACCCCCCTATTCAAACTGTACCCTGGATCAGCACTCTGCAGCAGATCAGTAAACAGAATAGAGATGTTTGGAAACTGTGACACTTACTACATACAAATCCATTGAAAAAAAAGACGCAGCTCCTAAAGTGGTGTCTTGCACACCCCAAAGAAATTGAAATGTGTGTAGTTTGTTTCATTGTAACTGTTTATATTTAGTCTTTCAATTACATGTATATATCATATAACATTGACTTACTGTATGCAGCTTAAAACTTGAAGCACTGTTCTACAAGTCACATAGGGAAGAAATATTTCCTTGAATAATAACCTTCCCCAAAGTAACAAATCACTACTTCTTTCAAGGGCTTTAAAAGTTTTAAGAAACAAGGCTGTGTACAGAAATCACACTAAGGACTCACAAGCCCAAAAGAGGCAGACAGGAACGCAGCTCTGTGCTCAGACAAGTTGCACAATCTGACAAATCCCCACTCCCTTTACGAATAGTGCCTCTGGGAGTCAGTCAAAGGCAGGAAGCAATCTGCTAATTATTTCTTAAAATTTCATTTCTCCCTCTTTTCTACAGAAAACAGAAGCAGAAGCTGCTAGTGCATCATCTGGAATCCGCAGCTGTCACTGGCTAAGAAAGCAGCCTGGAGCCAGGGCACGGTCTGAGCCTCGGGCCGGGGATGCTCAGCTGCTCCCGCTGCCTCTGCCAGCTCCGAGGGGAGCCCTCCTGCCCTGCCCCGTGCTGGAGAGCTGCAGGGGCTGCCACGGGCCCCTGGCTGAGAGCAGCCTGTGCCCAGAGCACCCAGCTCCTCTGGTGCCCGCCCTGGCCCTGGGGACCATGTGCCCACCCTGCCAGGGCTGCCCCCACAGCACGGGGCTTGGCGCACCAACCTGCTTCATCTTCAAGGCAAAAGCCTTTTCCCCTACTTTCTAGGAAGAAATGCAACTTTGTCAGGGCTCTGGGCATCAGCTGAGAGCACATCAATTCCCTGAGTGCCTGTTTCCCACAGGCAGAGCCCAGACACAGAACCAGGTGCATCAGCACACACCTGAGCCCTGCCCTGGCCCAGCTGGGTGCGCTTGTTCACAACACAACAATTCAAAGCTGACTGAAAAGGCTGAAGCCTCATAACAGATAAAACTCTCAATTCCTCCTTTTTTCTTTCCTGTTTGTTTCTCCAGGGAGAAGAGCTACCACAATGCAAATGAAAGCCATAACCCAGTTCAGCTCCTCCAGGAATGACAGCAACTGCACCAGCGACAGCAGGGTCAGCCAAGTCATCTTCCCTTTACTCTACACATTTCTGTTCCTGGTGGGGATCACCATGAACGGCCTGGCAATGTGGGTCTTCTTTAAAGTACCCAGCAAATCCAATTTCATTATCTTCCTCAAGAACACTGTGATTTCTGACTTCCTCATGATCCTGACTTTTCCCTTTAAAATCCTCAGCGATGCCAAGCTGGTGTCCTGGGTGCTGCGAGGGTTTGTGTGCCAGGTGAGCCAGGTGGTGTTTTACTTCACCATGTACATCAGCATCCTGTTCCTGGGCCTGATAACGATCGATCGCTATCAGAAAGCCACTTCACCTTTCAGAACCTCCACTCCACGGAGCCTCCTGGCCGCCAAGGTCCTGTCCACAGCCATCTGGCTGTCCATGTTCGCTCTCTCGCTACCCAACATGATTCTAAATAATAAGAAGAAAACACCCAAGAACGTAAGGAAGTGTGCTCTCCTGAAATCGGAGTTTGGCTTAGTCTGGCATGAAATTGTGAACTACATCTGTCAGCTGATCTTCTGGGTTAACTTAGCAGTCATAGTGGTATGTTACATCCTCATCAGCAAGGAGCTGTACAAATCCTACAAAAGGACTCGATGCGCAGGGAAGGGATCTAAAAAGACTGTCAATCTCAAGGTTTTCATAATAATTGCTGTGTTCTTTGTTTGCTTTGTGCCGTTCCACTTCACCAGAATCCCCTACACCTTGAGCCAAACCAGAGATGTGTTTGACTGCTCTGCTCGGAACGCCCTGTTCTACATGAAGGAGACCACGCTGTGGCTGACGTCCCTCAACGCCTGCCTGGATCCCTTCATTTACTTTTTCCTGTGCAAGTCCTTCAGGAAATCCCTGCTGGACATGCTGTGCAAGCACAGGGCAGGGCCAGGGGCACAGACTAAGGGGGATGACTCCGACGAGACGCCGCTCTAGGTGCCAGGGCTCCTCTGCCCTTCACACGCCTTCGCTGGGGGTGGCAGGAGCACAGAGCCACGAGGAGCATCCAGAGCTCCACTGACTGCCTCAGAAACAGCCCTGCAGATGGAGCAGGAGCACCCCGGAACCACCGCCACTGCCTGCAAAAACAGAAAGCTTCAATAAACACCAGGGGAGACCCCCAGCCTCCACCCCTGCCCAAACCAGAGCTGTCAGACCCCAACCTCCACGGCTGTCAGAATTGGTGGGAAGAAGTCAGAACTGAAAGGTGGAACTACGAGGAAAAACTTAAAACAGAATCATGAAATGCTGCAGATGATACCATGAAGTGTAGAGATGTTGCAGAAATAGCTAAACTTGGGCCAGAGTAAAGTTCATGACAACACAAGACCTGAGAAATGCAGATAAAATGCACAGTGGATGTCATTTTTCAACACAGGGAGTTGTCACCCTGTATGCAACTGGCAGACAAACAGAAACATAGAGAGAGCCATTTGGGCAGATTTTTGGTAACAGAATAACACTTTGCTTATCTCATTCTATGCTTGCAGTTCCTAATCCATTGACCAATAATTAATAGTTGTATTTCAGAGGAAATTATTTCTTAATCGGGCTTATCTTGATATTAATTAAATCCCCAAATCCTTCCCCTTACTACATAAATAAATGAAGTAATGTTTTCACAGAGAACATTATATTAGAAAACATACAAACACTCGATTTAAATCTTACTGAGACCCTGGGGAAAAACAGGCTCATGGTAACTCCTTTACTGATGATTAAGGGCAGCTTTTTCCACTATAGAACATACTCAACCACTTCCTTTTTGCACTTGGAAAACTTGAAAAAAAACAGGGAAGTATTTTCAAGTACATGACATTTTGAGGTATCACAGCAATTACCCATGAAATAGATTGTGGGCTATTGGAATAAGTTGTGGTTCATTTATCACCGCTGCAAACAGCTCCAGCTGAGCAGTGTGTGTCCCCAGCACACAGGAGCTCAGCCTGCCACAGCCATCACCTGTCCATCCTTCCTGGGACCTGTCCCTGCCTGCCAGGGCGCTTGTGCAGCCCAATTTCCTAAGGAGTTAAAGGGCAGCTCACTCATTGCTCATCTACTGCCACCCTCGGCCTTGGGGTCTGTGCATTTCCTACAGCCCACAGGGGTGAACCCACCTGCCTCAAACTGTGCATTTCTAATAATCCATTGAGATGAACCCACCCTGCCTCAAACTGTGCATTTCTAATAATCCATTGGGATGAACCCACCCTGCCTCAAACTGTGCATTTCTAATAATCCATTGGGATGAACCCACCCTGCCTAAGCTGTGCATTTCCTACAGCCCACAGGGGTGAACCCCCCTGCCCCAAGCTGTGCCACCCCAGAGCGTGCTCCCCCAGCAGCCCACAGCTCCTGGGCCAGGCCAGTCCCCGTTAATGCCCAGGGAGGGCAGTGCCACGAGCCCCGCTCCCACCCAGAGCTCATCCTGCACACATTTTGCACCTACGCGTGCAGAGAGAGTGACAATTAGCCAGGAGCTGCTTTCCCTGGCCAGGTGAGCTGTCCAGACAGACACACCTGTCCCCCAGAGCCACCAGGTGTGCACAGGTACCTGCTGACAGCTGGGAACGGCATCAGGAGCCCAAAACACGGAAGGCACTGCCTTGGACAGCAGTGCTGGGGCACTGCAGGGGACTGTGATGGTCACCAGTGGGGACCAGAGGGCAGGGACAGCCAGGACACACCACACCGGTGGCAGTGCTGAGCGTGACTGAAGCCCAGCCATCCTCAGGGCTGCCTGCTCTCAGCAGCCATTAGCACCAGCACCTACATTAGCCAAAATGCCCCAGGTGCTGATGCACAAGCCCCTGGCACTGCTGCAGCCCGAGCTCCTTTGGAGCAATCCCCAGGAATGGCCTGAGCAGGAGCACTGCCCACAGCGAGCCCTGGGCCAGGGCAGCAATGAGCTCACACAGACAGCTCTGCTCTCAGAGAATTGCACCCAGTTCCAGCCCAAACCCAACACACACACCAACAATCCACGCAGCAGTACCTGCCAGGGCAGAAGGGCTGCGAGCTGCACAAAGGGGCAATCCCTGCCTGCATGGGCCAAACCCAGGAATCCCCTCAGGAGAGGCAGAGCCCAGCCCAGGCCCTGTGTCAGGGACACCAGGGGCAGGAGAGGGGGCAGGCCCTGGCACCGCTGTCAGGAGGCTCTGAGCAGACTCTTGTAATGCTTTGGTAATGATTGGTGCCCTCCAGAACGTGGAATGCACACACAAACAACACCCAGAGCTACACTGGAGGGTTATCCTGGAAAGCTGTCAGGAAACACTCTGCGTTTGCTCATCCTCCCAGCCCAGGTGCAGCAGGTCTGTCTGCCCCATGCACACGCAAACCCAGAAATGTGCCTGTCCTGAGAGGCAGGCTCAGCTTTGCTTTCCCAGCTCGGGAGCAGATGGTGTGCTTTCTCACACAGAGCAAAGGGAAGAGACAGAAGCAATAGCAATGTGACCAACTCGGGCGGCACTGAAATGAGGAAGGAAACCACACACCAGCAGAAAAACGTCTCATCTTTCTACACATTTCCCCACTCCCAGCACTTTGCTCGAGGCTTCTGCTGGCAGAGGAGCAGCGGATGAGATGGGGACAGCCACAGAGGGCCCTGTGACAGCTGCTGCAGGCTTGCCCAGGTACTCGGAGTGTTCGGGGTGTGTGGGGTGCTCAGGGCTGGCCCTCAGGGCTGGGAGCCGCCTGTGTGCAGCTGGCCTTGGAAATGCTATCTGAAGCTGTGCTGGTAAGGGAAAGAGTGGGTGCTTGGAAAGAATTACCAGAAGCCACGTACCCAGGAGTGGCTGGCTTTTGGACCACAGCTCTAACATTTCTATTTCTATATTATATTCAACACTAAAATATTTCTATTTTAGTGTTGAATGTTAGAGATATTCAGAATATCTCTAACATTTCTATTCAGCACTAAAATACATTTCCATGGAAAGGCCAGCAGTGCTCCAGGCAGTCTGCTCTGCTGACATTACCCTAGGCCTCCAAAATAAGTGTGAACCCTTTTAACTCTTCAGTGGATGCTAGCCTGCAAACAATTTAAATTTCAGCAAAGATTTAGATTTTCCATGAACCAGAAGAGAAATTGGCCGGGCTGTTTAAGCCGCACTCGGGTTTGGTGTTTACTCATGCAAACCTGCTGCCACAGTAAGGAACGTGTAACACTACTACAGAAGGGTCTGTTTTGTGTTCTCTCCCTCCTTCTCCCCCAAGTCTGTTCCCAGCCATGGGAGGCTCTGCAAACACGAGCTCTGTGGGTAACACCAGTGGAGCTCCCTCCTCTGCGCCGTGCCAGCGTGACACCACCGTCACCCACCTGCTCTTCCCCGTGCTCTACACCCTCATCTTCCTCCTGGGGCTCCTGCTGAACAGCCTGGCCTGCTGGGCCTTCTTCCACATCCCAAGCACATCAACCTTCATCATCTACTTGAAAAACATCTTGGTTTCTGATTTCATCATGACGCTGATGCTGCCCCTGAAGATCCTGACGGACTCCGGCCTGGCGCCGTGGCAGCTCAAGGCCTTTGTCTGCCGCTTCTCAGCCGTGATATTCTATGACACCATGTACATCAGCATCGTGCTGCTGGGGCTCATCGCTTTCGACAGATTTCTCAAGATTGTGAGACCTTTTGGGAAGTTCTGGGTGCAAAACCTGACCTCAGCAAAGATCCTGGCGTCTCTAGTCTGGCTCTTCTTCCTCGTCCTGTCCCTGCCCAACATGGTCCTGTCCAACAAGGCAGCGACGCCGCAGTCCGTGAGGAAGTGTGCCTCCTTGAAGAGCCACCTCGGGCTGAAATGGCACGAGGCTGTCAACTACATCTGTCAGTTCATCTTCTGGACTGTCCTCATCCTCATGCTGCTATTTTATATAGTCATTGCCAGAAAGGTATATGAGTCCTATGTAAAAACACAGAAGAAAGGCAACAGAAGCGAAAAGCGGATCAAGGGGAAGGTATTCATCATTTTTACCGTGTTCTTCCTGTGCTTTGCTCCCTTCCACTTCAGCAGGGTGCCCTACACCGTGAGCCAGACGAGCGCCCGCATGGAGTGCCGGCTGCAGAACCAGCTGTTCGTGGCCAAGGAGAGCACGCTGTGGCTGGCAGCCACCAACGTCTGCATGGACCCCCTCATCTACCTGCTCCTCTGCAAGCCCTTCCTGCAGAAGGTCTTCTACAGGAGGGTGAGGGCTCTGCAGGGAGCAGCCCAGGCAAGCCCAAAAACAGAGCTGGACACACGAGTATCTCCCACCGAGTCCTGATTCTGCAGCTGCACACTCTGCTCTGCATCCGCATGGAGAACTTGAAAAACAGTTTGGTTTACTTCTGCTGAAGAGCACATAAGGGTGTTTGCCGAGCAATACTAACACTCAATAAATGCAGCAAAATGGATTTTCTAAGTACACTCACTGCATAGCCTTAATGGCCTAAAGGCTCTTGCTCAAACTGCCTAAGACAATCCACAGGTTAATTCTCTCTGCTTTAAACTAAACCAACTCACTTGCTGACACCTGAGCAGCTTACTGACTCTGGCTGCTCTGCAGGGCAATCCAGCTTTATCTGGGAGTGAACCCCAGAGCTGGTGACCGTGTATGTCAGTAATTCCTACCCTGAGTGCCAGCTTGGCTGCACACCAAGAGCAGGCAAGGGGAGGAACAGAGGCAAGGACTCGGTCCCTTCCCAGCCCTCCTCGCCTCTCTCACACATGTAATTACTTTCCTGCCGCCCGCGCTGTTTCACCACCCTTCCTTCTGCTCCCAGCAGCAGCACCTGGTGGAGGGCAGTGCTGGCAGTACCCCAGTTCAGCACCCCTGTTCGGTACCCCATTTTCCCAGATAGTGCTGGCAGTACCCCGGTTCTGTACCCCAGTTCAGCACCCCAGTTCAGCGCCCCAATTTCCCAGCACAATGTTGGCAGTATCCCAGTTCAGCACCCAATTTCTCATGGCAGTGCTGGCAGTGCCCCGGTTCAGCACACCAATTTCCCAGTTCAGCACCTCAATTTCCCAGGACGTGCTCCTGCCCAGGCGAGCAGAGCAGCCAGGGCTGCCTCCCCACCCTGAGCCATGTGGGGCTCGGCCCCACGCTGCCCTCACCATCAAGGAACACCCAGAGACGCCCCCTTGGCGGCACCTTCACCCTTCCAGTCCCAGCCCAGGCCAGGAGCAGGGGCAGGGGGCCCTGAGAGCCTCCCCATCACCCAGCTCACCAGACCACTCACAGGGCTCTCCCTGCCTATCCCACGGGGACTGTGCCTGCACAGAAACCCTTCCTAACCCCAGATTCTGGAATTTATCTCACTAGTTCAAGACTGCAGTGTCCCTTATCCCAAACCACCCCTTCTCCTCCAGCTCTCCTGCCGGCTTTACTCTCTCTCACACGTGCCAGACACTTTGATCACCACCAGACTGCTATTTTTAGAATTCCATTGTTCACAGTAGCCCAATCCAACCCAGCAGGTTGCTCCGTACAGCTTGATTTTCTCAAAGCTGCTCTAGATTGCTGTGCATTAATTATCTCTGCCCCTGGGGTTCCCCAGCCTGTGCCACACAGGAGATGGATGTCTTATTCAGCAACTTCTGCCCACTGCATCTCCTCCACCAGGCGTATTACACATCTTCTGCAGCTGGAACACCCTTCCTAACTGGAAACTGAACTGTCTCCAATCAGCTTCCAATTGGTTCTGAATCTGCCTATAAATCAGTGTTATCTCAGCCATTGTCTACCTCTTACGTTAAATGCTGCGGCATTAAAGGCTCTCCCCACACACACATGCACTGTTATCAGGATTAACTTTGCTCCTTTAGGAAAAGTAAATACAATAAATTCTCAGCTGCTGAAGTAGTCAGCCCTTCAGTAACTGCTTGGAGGAGCATGCAGGAGGCTGGAAATGTTCCTCCCAACCTGCTGACACAGCCTGACAATAACAGAGGGCCCCGAGCCAGACACTGGCAGAGGAGGGTCTGTGCACTGGCCTTCCCCAAAGCACAGCTCACACAGAGCTCCAGGGACTGCCAGCACATCCAGCTCTGGGCCGGCACAGCAGGCGGGCACTGAGGAACTGAGAAGATGAAGAACAGAAATTTCTTGTACTTTGTGATTTCTGCTCGTGACCGAGGCTCATCCAACGCTGTGCACACACACTGGCAGCTCACACAGCTGAGAGCCCGTGTTGGGGTGGGTGTAACCACAAAATGGGATGAGTTGGTCCTTAAATAAAGGGTGTGACAAAGGTTTCTGAGCAGTCTTAATCATCTGTTTTTCAGCTGTTGCTTCTTAGGTAGGTAAAAGGGAGCCAAAGCTACCAAACTCTGTGGCAAAGGAGTGAAGGTGACTCCGAGGACAGAACACCTGCTTGATGCACCTAGGGGAAAAGTCCCTAAATACTAGCACTTGGGATTTTGCACGTTTTTTCTACAAAGTGTTAGATCACTGCCTCCAGATGGAGTGAAAATCACAGCAGTTAAAATGGCTCAAAGTTTAGCTCTCTGTTTTTTAAGGCTCAAACAAACACCCCAAGGAGAATTTTGCTTTGCACGTGATCAAACAGAGCCGTGTTTGGAGAGCAGCTCTGCCCTGGCAGGAAGCCCAGAGCAGCTGCCATGGGCTCCCCACATTCCTGCAGGGCTGCCCAGGGATTTGTGGAATTCTGCAAAGTTTACCAGCATATTCAATACAGCCATCACCATTTTCCCAAACCTGGTTTCTGTCCCAGCCCACCTGGAATGTGCTGGTGCTGCCTTGAGCAAAGCCCTCACTGTTCCCTGACAGAGCAGCTGGACAGGACAGCAAACACCAGCACCATTCTGATCCCATGGACAGGACAGCAAACAGCAGCACTATTCTGATCCCATGGACAGGGCAGCAAACAGCAGCACCATTCCCATTCCATTGACAGGACAGCAATCACCAGCACCATTCTGATCCCATGGACAGGACAGCAAACACCAGCACCATTCCATCCCATGGACAGGGCAGCAAACACCAGCACCATTCTGATCCCATGGACAGGGCAGCAAACAGCAGCACTATTCTGATCCCATGGATAGGACAGCAAACAGCAGCACCATTCCCATTCCATTGACAGGGCAGCAAACACCAGCACCATTCCATCCCATGGACAGGGCAGCAATCACCAGCACCATTCCCATTCCATTGACAGGACAGCAATCACCAGCACCATTCCATCCCATGGACAGGACAGCAAACAGCAGCACCATTCCCATTCCATTGACAGGGCAGCAAACACCAGCACCATTCCATCCCATGGACAGGGCAGCAATCACCAGCACCATTCCCATTCCATTGACAGGACAGCAATCACCAGCACCATTCCATCCCATGGACAGGGCAGCAAACAGCAGCACCATTCCACCATTCCCATCCCACCTATGCTCACTCCAGGCCATCACATCCCAAGGCAGCAGCAAGGCTCTCCTTTCCTACGGACATTCCCTTGCATGGTTTGTCCTCACTCCAGACAACCTAGAAACTGAAAGCTGGCACAAGACCTTGAACCCTTTTGCAGAAATGACCCTTGTCACACGCTCCCATGGGCCAGCTCCACACAGAAAGTACTGACAGTTGTCCTAAGCATCTCTGCAGGTCATTGGGTTCCTGGAAAGGGAACTACAGGGCACTCAGCAGGTGAGTTTAGTAGGAAATCACTCATTTGTGTACATAGAGGCTTATACAAATTTTTTCTTTTTAGTTTCCTCGTGTTTCAGAAAAAGGAAGCATTTTATACCCTCACATGCAGCCTCCTGCCTCACCTCAGAGGGACAGCATGGTAATTCCTGGGTGCCCAGAGACAAACTGCTCTTCAGAGACATCCTAACCCTTGGACAGCTACACACATCCCTCCACAGACACATCCCGACCCTTGGCACAGCTACCCACATCTCTCCATCCAGGCTCCCCAGCTCTGAGTACTCCGAGAACTCTCACAACACACAGTCGTGCTTCAATTAATTAGAAATGCAAAGCCATGATTTGCATCCTGAAGCAGAGCTGGGCAGACAGGTCCAGCAGCCACGGTCTGACCCACACGATGGCACAAGCACAGAGCCAGCAGGGCACAGGGGGGCACTGAGGGCACCAGGACAGAGCTGAGCCTGCAGCTCCAGGCTCGCTATCCGCACACAGCGAGGAGCTCGAGGGGAAAAGAGCTGAGCTTTGAAAGTCAGCTCTTGGTCAGAGACTTTCCTCCTTCCTTCCCTGTGAGTGAAGGCACCACACAGTGACTGGAGCGATCCACACCGGGAAAGGGGAAACGCCAGCCCTTCCACGACTCTTCCCCTGACAAAAGCACCTCCACCTGCACATCTGCAGCTCCAACGCCGCAGAACCCTCCCCGTGATGCAAGCTCTGGTCTGGCTGACACTTTTCTGCTTAAAAAGCAGAAACAGCCAGTCCTGCGCATTACCCAGGTGATGAATCTGCTGCAGCACAGCCTTGCAGCTCACATTGCTAAATATGGCAGTGAAGACGTTTTAGAATGAGGCAACGCAGTAATTGTTGTAATAACGTTGTTCAGGCTCTTATGAAATCTGAGAGTTGCTCTCTAATCATCAAAACACAAAAAGGGACATCCAGCCTGTAAATAACGTGAACAATAGTTAAGTTACAGGTTACCTTCAGCTGTTCTTTGCATCAGACCTTCTCACTTGTCCTGCGCTGTTTCAGGGCAGGCTCCCCCATTCCAGGGTTTCGTGTGCCAGCCTGCCCTGGCCTGCTCAGCCTGGCAGCAGCCAGCAGCACGTCTGCATCCCGCCTGCCCGGGGATGCCAGGGCACCGGCTGCCGGCCCATCGCGTCCTTCTGTACGCCAAAATACAGAGATTTTCAGGAAAAGTTAATGTGCCTTCGCACCATATCCAAAAACTAAAATTAAAACCCCATTCCAGTGCAGATTTTATTTATTATTTGAGTGTTACTAACACACCAATTTTGGTGTGTAAACTCCACCGCCAAAGTGCCAACCCCTGAACACCTGGGTCTCTGTAAGCAATTAAATCACGTTTTTTAAGCATTTCAGTTTTCACTATAAATTTCTTCCCTCTTTCCCCACGGCACATCCTGCTGCACTGGTTCTCAGACCCCAGCCTGGGAGACCACCAGCACTGGCAGTGATGAAAAGCAGCAGCACAAATGTGGGCTACACATGTTGTTGTGCCATGCTGGACTGCAGGAGTGGCTGCATTCCCCGAGCCCAGCTGTGCCCACAGAGTCCAGCTGTGCCCCTGGAGTCCAGCTGTGCCCAGCCGTGCCCCCGGGCAGGGA